AAAAGTACTTTAAACTGTATAAATAATGTAAAATTAATTTGATTTAAACTGCCAATCATACGAAAGTCTTCCTATGAGCAAAGGTCCCATATTTTTTAAATTGATAAATAAGATAAGAATCTTATGCAGTATTATACAATTTATCACGAAACACATCAAAGATTCATAAACTAATTATAAATATTTAATAAATATTTCATGAGTGATTGATAAGAAACTATTATATATGAAATTTCAGGCAAATTGTGTTATTACAGTATTAATGCTGATTTTTGATATATCGATTAATCAATTAATTGTAATCACATTATTTTAAAATTAATTGTTCTAAGTATATATTTATATAAATTATTTGTACAGGTATTTTGTAAATTACGACTGTAATTATTATTAAATTATTTATAATTAGAATTCGACAATAGAATAGCTTTTAGAAACAATAATTTATAAATATTATTTGAATTGATAGTTTAAAAGTTCCCAATCTGCGTGACATGTCAATCGGCTAATAAGCTTCCCCAACTAGTAGGGCATGACACTAGTTGACTATTTTCATGGTAACGGTAAAACTTTTCCAATCCGCATGACATATAAATCGGCCGATAAACTTTCCCATCCGTGGGACAAGACCCTTAATTCAAATAACACAATCCGCTCACTCAGATCGAACATGATCGATTTTATCATAATTAATGTGCACACGTACTATAATGTACGTACGTATGCACGTACGAACAATTAATTATATACGTCACCACACATACGTACTATTTACTGTATGCACTTGCTCAGTTGACTACGCCACTTGTTACAGTACTACCTAATAATTATTTTGTGTAACTTAACAGAAACTCGGTGACTTTTTCTGGAAGTTTTGAAAATAATTATGTGCAACATAATTTAGTAAGCTTTAATACAGTAAATAACATTAATGATTTACGTGCAACATATGACCGTCTTAAACTGTCCTAGACTGTCCTTTGTCGGAATTGACTCACCGACGCGTGTAGGTCTAAATTTAGTTA